TTCCCGTAATGTCGGTTTGACTTTTTGAGGCCAAGTCTCTAGAAGCGTCGCTGCTAGTCGCCTCTTTTGAACTGTCAACTTCTCCAAGAATCTGTTCACAATTGCTCTTAAATGTCTCACAACTTGCCTCGCCGTGTGGCCAGACTAAAGCTGGATTATTGTCAGCGAGCGAAGTCCAATTGGTCCGGGGGGCTGTCGTCTGCTGGTGTAAATCCTTCTGCAACTCTCTCTGACTATTCTGGTCTGGAGACTTGGCAGCAATCTGTCCGGACAAATATTCTGATACCAGATCAGTTGTGCGAGTCTGTGGCTGAGAAGTATTAGTGCTGGCAGTGTAGCTGAAAGCAGTACGTCCGAAAGTGCTCAACTGTTGATTAGAACAGCTAAAAGGTGGTGGCAAATACGTCGTGCCATTGTTTGGTCCGGAAGCTGAAGGTGATAGGGTTTCACGTGCCAAGCGACCCTCGGAATTAGGCGGTTCAAGGGAAGATGCGCGTGGCAGAGGAGCGGCCGCAAAAAGAGGCGGTTTTCTATTGCTTGGCGCTTCTGTATTCTTCTGAGTAGTTGGCTGAATTGTTGCGATATTCTTAACAGAAGAGCCTATTTTGATTATAGTGGCAAATATAAAGTAAATCATAAGTAAAATCAGTAGAATAACGCAAATGAAGGCAAAAACCGCTATTCAAGCTACAAAGTTTTGAGATTGCTATTCAGCCATAGGAATTTATGTCCTATTTTAGTACTTATCGCATGTAGCAATAATTCTTGAATAATTGCTTAGTCCTTCCAGATGGCTTTAGGTGATTTTAGAACTGAACTTCAACTTTTGCCACAATAATAATAGTAGGCCTTACGATTCCATTAAGTTTCACTTAACCTTACCTCCTCCAGGATGACTAAACACTTATTCGAAAATGACTGGGTCTCGAAGCGTAAACATATTTAAAATAAGTAACGTCATCGACATAAATGGTATACACATATTGGTTTAAGCGACAAGCCCACTAAACAATGTGAATTAAGGCATACTTATCTTTCCTTAGATGTCGCATTTCCCTGTGACTAACTGGCGCCCATGAACATGTAGTGATAACATTATAAAACGCTATTCATGACTCGGTATCGGATCCTGCTGAGGTTGCTGACGAGACCTAAGTGTGGCCGGAATTGCAGTCCACCAAGGATGATATAGGCCTTTTAGGGCAGAGCCAAGTGAAATGAAATGAAATTGTTATAAAAATCAAATATCAGTCCTTTACTCACCTGAAACGCTATATATGACCCACGCCAATGGAAAGACTTCTCGTTGAACTTGTGTTGATGCAAAAATGTCAAAGAATTTCACCAAAACTCACCTCACTGAAGGTCTTCTCTTAACCACATTGACAAGGGGTGCTAATAAGTCAACATTTGTATGTTTGATCGAAAATCGAAGACTACGTTATATTGAATAAGTAACAAATCAAACTAGCTTTTGATTTTGAATAATTACTCGAGTTTCCCCGACTCGCTTGAAGCAATTTCAAGACTTATAATAGATTTATTCAAAGTCAACCGAGTAAGCTCCGGGAATGCTCTCGTATTATCTCATCATTCAGACTGACCAGTAGTTTCTCCTCGCCCTTGTCTCGTCAGAAACAATTTTGGGCTCAAAACCGCATCTTGCATGTCATACCTTACCATGTCAGCAACTTTAGCACTACACCAAAATTCAGATAAGAAATGAGAAAAATCTTTTAGATTGCAAAGAACTTTGGGGCAAATAAATTTTTTTTCAATTAATTATTGTTTTCGTGACTATCAGTTAATCAGTAATATGAAATGTTTCCACCCAATTTCGTTTAAGGTGATGAAAGTCTGGTATAAGAAGAATTTTCCCACAATTATATGAGTTGAGCTGACGTTTCCATTAAATTTCACATGGCTTTTCTTTCCCAAAAGTTGTTCTCATCCAGGGTGGACTGCAGTTTCGACCTCGCATCGGTCTTATCAACACAATCAGCGGGAGTCAAACCGCGACAGTGCAGGATGGGAGCAAGGCTATGTGAAATTCAATGGAAACGTCAGCTCAACTCATATCTTTATGGGAAAATTATTTTTCTACCAGTCCTTCATCACCTTAAGCGAAATTGGGTGAATACACCTCATATTACTAATTTTTTTAAGCAATTAAACTGCTTATGCTCATGTTTCTATCTAAGATTTACTGACATTTTCAAAGACTACTCATTCCGTATATTCGTTGGTGGTTCAACAAAAGAGAAGCAACAACTATTGTAAACACCTGTACACACTGCTGTCGCCAAAGTAGTTTCCGTGGTGCTCTTCTTGCTAGGTTGTGAGAAGCTGGCTCGTTTGCGTAAAAGACTAGCACCAGCTTTCGCTTTGGTACCAGTTGTCGTGGCCGCGGATTTATGTCGTTCCCCAGGGGGTGGGACGACCAGGAGAAGTAAATCAGCCCGCACCGATTGACTGAGTCGGAAGCTTGAACCAAGCCGGCTAGCTGTAGTGACAGGAGTTGATATTGGTTGCGGAATTCCAGAATGACTGTCTGCAAGGGATGGACAACTTGGTGACGAACTAGGCGCCACAGAAGCAGAACCGGGCTGGGCAGAGGGTCCCGGATGGATAAGACTTGCGACTGGGCCTCTTGGTAGACCCTGCCGGAATGCTCCTAGCTCTGATGAATGAGGCCTTGGATGTGCGGCATCTCCTGGACTGTATGCGCTAAAGTGTGGCTGGAGACTGGCAGTCGAGGCGGCTACAGCTGAGCAGGGAGGCGAAACTGTGGTGGGTCTAGAAGAGGCAGGAGTGGCAGAAGTGTAAGTCGAGCTTGCTGTAGGTGAGGATAGTCTGGATCGTGTTAATTTGGGCGAAACAGGTCTCGAGGTACGCCCAGGCAGGGAGCACGGGGGCAAAGTGCTTCCGGAACCAGAATAAATTGGAAGACCGCTTGTGGATGTGGATCGAAATGAACGAGCTGACTTAGGAATGTCTTCAGTACAAAGGGAGACAAGAGAAATTATTAATTTTTACAAAACTTATGCATTT